AAAAAAAAACAACTTTTGTTTTTCACGGCAGTGAAGAATTCATATCAAATTCCACCCACTACTTTTTGGTTTAGAACACTGTATTGTGAACGTAAATTGTTTTCAGCTGCCTCTTTGGCCTCGATTTACATCAACAAACCTTTGCAAGATTACTGCTCTGAAAGCGAGTTAGCTCAATTTAGACCAAAATCAAATTAAGAGACAATCAGTACGTGGAGCTAGTAGTTCAATAATTGTACAGGCGCAGCTGGTGTTGAAATTGACGAATAACGCAGATAATGTAGCTACAGTAGGTGCTGTAGTTACAAACTGGAATAAAATATTAAAATTCATGACTTGAGCAGAGGAGAGAGAAAACAATCCCTAAATTATATAATCGGTTAATTTATGCTTTTGTTAAATCTTGTGTTTTTAAATAATAACGCTACCGATATCGTAGAAAAAATGCCGTGCTGTAAGTAAAATACGTCACTGCAACGAACCTACTGTACATGCGTGAAATCATCGATCGAGCACAAATTAGTGCGCAGAGACAGGGAGAATTACTTGAAAGTCTGTCAGAGAATAATGACAAAAATAATACAGAATGTTTACAAAGAACCAAAGAACAGTTAGTTCTGTCAGCTATAATTAATCGGCACTTTGCGATCTGTCCGCTTGCAACGTTGTTCACTGAATGATATTAAATACATTTGATCACAGTGTAATTTAATTTTTAGAAGAATTCATCTATGCTGTATAACATACCAAACTTGAATTAGTTCACAAAGTTTTTAGCTATAATAATTTAAACAGAGCAAAAGTTGATTTAACGCGAATAGTTAGCATTTGGCCAAATGTGGCTTAAAATGTAAACATATTTTTTACCGAGACGGAAGACTTCCAAAGAAAAGGAAGTCGCTCCTGTAAGTGGACCGGTAGGGGGCGCTCTTCCATCAGGACCAGTATGGTCACCGGGGACATTGTACTGTAGGAGGTGCCGCCACTTGTGGCTGAGACGTTAAATTGAGCTCCCGGCTCCTTGGTCGTTAAAGACCCCGGGGCACTGTTCAGAAGAATTCCACTCTGGGCTTGAACATTCAGGCTTTCCCGAGGTTACAAAAGAAATGGATTGAAGGAGCAGTCTCTCAAGGTCGGGTGGTGAACTGGTGTAAATCATGTGGGTAAAACATTTTGTGATCCTTTTGATTCAAAAGGGCAGTATAAATGTGAGAAGGGTTTATTATTAGTAGTAGTATGATGGTAATCATGATGATGATTATAATTGACCTTCAAGCAAAGCTCACCTTAAAAAAAAAACCCGAGAGTATTTTAGCAGCCCAGCTCTTGTGTGTTGGTACTAGGGATATCGACATTGCTGTTCGCCTTCGTGTCGTTTGTCCTGAGCGGCGGAGAGTGATCGATAAGGTGAACAGATCGATGAGATAACTGCCTCGTTTCCTCTGCGCAGCAACGCCACTTCATCCCCCGTTCAGGCCAGTTTGTCGCTGTGTGACCCAGGATCCATTCGTAATAACGACAAGACTATAATAATTGCTGGGCTAACCTTCTGGCACCATTACATGCATTTATTTTTCTCTGTTATTCTAAACTTCGTCTGATAAACGCAAAGCCCATTTCTGACCGTGAATCTGAAAATGATGAAGTTCTTCACCAAAAAGTAACGTACCGGTTATTTGAATTTTGTCAAGAGGACAAGAACAGTTCACGGATTTGTGTGAATATACCTTTCTTTTAACAATTTAAAACTGAATCGCTTTGTACGGGTGGTAATTGTGCTCCCCGAAGGACCCAAATCAGTAAAAATGCGCATTGATTGGTTTACTCTTACGTCTTTTTTAATACGTCCTAGCTAAAATGCACTCCAGACTCCCGATTTGTGACCCGTCAGACGTGGCACTGTTTTTTTTTGCACGGGGTACCACAGGGAGCAGAGTGACGCTTTGCTTCACTGACCCTTCGACCCTTTGAAAACCTTTGCATTGGTGCGCCAGGGTCCTCAGCCGTTCGATAGAAAGGCAAATGGTGGTGATCGATCGCCACCGCCTCTCCTATAACACAGCATCGACCCCCGAATGAGGACCTCCGACTTCAGGGAGCCAGGGCGTTCAAATGAAGAAGCGGACGTTTGCCTTCGGTTTCGGAGCTTGAAAGTAGGGCTCCGCCGCCTCTCCCCTCCCCTCCCCTCCTCCCCCCTCAAACACACATCACTGTTTGAGTTGGTTTCTTTCAATTACTTCAGGTTCTGCAGAGCTGGGAGCTGTAAAGAGGTTTGAAGCCGAAGGTTTCAATAAGTTCTGCAGCACACATCGCCGCTTTTCAAGTCGTGCCGTTACAGTACGTTTAAAAACAAACTAATTGTTTGCGGTAATCGAACCATACACAGTGCTACATTATCTTGGGAATTGTGTTTTAAAGTCCCCACCCACGTCGCTCTTGCACACACAAAGTTGTATTCTGGGCAGCTCGAGGAAACCCGTAACAGGACAGCATGCGAGGTTTGGTCACGTTAAAAAGAAGAAAAAAAAAAGGAAAATGTGTGACGGCGAAGACAATGATACCGTGTTTTGTTGTGGTGTATCCTGATCGACACTGGCGTGGGGAGCTGTCCTGCGCTGTGGTGCTGAAACCCTTGCCGCTCGGGGAAAACAGTCGCTATGGCAGGGAGGGCCTGGTATCTGCGCAAGTTTGTTTTCCAGATCAGCTCTTAATGCCACAGATCACACATCTAACCTGCAGGACCGGGACCGGTCACAACTGATGTCATTCCAAGTTATTTTTCCTTTCCTTAAATAAAGATGAAGGGAAAGGGATCTATATTTAAATAAGGACTTTAACGTAAGCAGACAGCCGAAGCAATGCTATGGATTTGAGTTGGTATATACGTCTGCTTGTTTGTACTTGATTGTTAATTAAAATTTCCGTGGACCCCCCCTCCCCCTCCCTGCAGGGCTCCATGTCAACAAGCACTTAGTTTTCTTTTGTAATTATTTAGCTTTCCCATTTCCATTCAACCGCTGACACCACAGTTAACCACAGCAACCAGGGAGAAGGAAAAAGACGAGACAGACACGGGCCGTTTCCCCAACCCACGAAATGACCCAGGAATGAGACCAGCATTGACAAGAACAAAGATTTCAGTATGACCTTTATTGAGCAGTTGCTGCTGAAAAGTTTTACATGAGTCAGCGACAGGAGGCACGTCAATGCACCCCCAAACATGTTGGTTCTTGAACAAAAGTCCATCTGATGCACGTGTATAATTATATAGTTTGTAATTGCACTCTCGAGGTAAACATAATAAACATCGACATATAGCATTTTAAGGCTAGAAGTTTTTGTTTTATATCGTTATTAGTGTAATTTTCATTTTGTAGTTTCTGTGTATTATTATTTTTTTGGCTCAGTTGAATCTTTGCATAATACTTCTTTAAACGCTCCTCCACTGCCCCCCCCCGATAATAATTCCCTGTTTTTTTTTTTCTTTTCCAGACGCGATTCTGTTTCCCTCATGCACTCCGTAGGTTACTGTATGTATATTAATAGGTGAAGTGGCTCCTTCCCCCGCTCTGTAGAGGGCGTACTTCTGTGTGCACGCATGCAGTCGCCCACCCCCTCCCGTCGATTGCACGAAAATGAATTAGAGCCGGTCAGCCCTCCCTCCCCCCTCCCTCCCACCCATACAAGAGAACCTGCCGAAAAGCTCATTTAAAGCTCACTCACATGCAGTTTTAATAGCTGTCGTATCATATGGCTTTCTCTATGCTTTTTATTTTTACAGTATTATAATTTCTATTTTGCAGTGAATCTCCATTGTTTCATCGGTTTTTAGTTGTGTGAAAACAAGTCGTCAGGACTTGCCTCCTTCAGTTTGAAAGATCAGGTGGGTGTCTTGTCGTCGGCTTCACTCGGTTTCCGTCACCTCCTTCACCGACTGGGAGGTGACCTTCTCCACCTTCTTGGTGGACACGAGCTTCTCCTGCAGCACCTCCTCCACTTCCTCCACTGTCTGGGTGACCGTGACGGATTTGGTGATGTGCTTGGCGCCGTCCTCCCCTGTGGTGATGGTTTCCACCGTCTTGGTGATCACCACCTTCTGGCTAGGCTCATCCTTGGTGGGGCTCTCCTCCACACCGTTGGTGATCACCTCCTTGCTCTCCTTCTCCTCTTCCTCCTTCTCGTCTCCTTTCTGCTCCACGTCTCCGTTCACAGCAGTATCCTCCGTCCCCACCTCTTCTCCTTCGCCCTCGGGCTCCCCCTTCTCTTCCTCTTTCTCGGCACCTGTCTTTGCGGCGTCAGTCTTGGACACTGCCTCTTCGGCTTGGGCCTCCTCTTTCTCCTCCTCTTCCTCCCCCTCTCCTCCTTCCTCCTGCTTTTCCTCTGCCTTGTCGCCAGCCTCCTCCTCTTCCTCCTTAGACACTTTCTCATCCTTGGCTGCTGCTTCCTCTTTCTCTTCTTCCTTCTGGGCCTCGTCTGCTTCTCCCTCCTCCTCCTCGCCTGCGCTTTCCTTTTTCTCTTCCTCTGCCTCTTCCTCTTTCTCGGGCTCTGGTTTTGAAGCCTGGGGGCTCTCAGCTCCTTCCTCGGCCTGTTCTGCCTCTTCTCCCTCTGCTGCCTCGGCCTCCTTCTCCTCCTCCGCCTCAGCTTCTCCCTCCTCTTCCTCTCCCTCCTTTGCCTCTGCCTCCTCTCCCTCCTCCTCAGCTTCTTTGCCCTCCTCAGCCTCCCCTTCCTCAGCCTCCTCTCCCTCCTTCTCCTCTCCTTCCTCCTCAGCCTCTTCCTCCTCAGGAGCGGCTGCACTCACTTCGGCCTTGCTGGCGGCCACCACCTCTTCCTCCGCGGCCTCACCCTCCGCCTCTCCCTCCTCCTTCACCTCCTCCTCTTCCTCCTCCTCAGCAGCTGCCTCCTCTGCTTCCTCTGCCTCCCCCAGGTCAGCCGCCAGCTCTTCGGCCACGGCGGCTAGGGCATCGTCCATTTCAGCCTTCTCGTCTTCCACCTTGGTCTCCTCAATGATTTCCTCCACGAACTTATGCTGCACCTTCAGCTTGGGGGGCTCTGCTTTGGCCTTGGGGGCCTTGGCTGGGGCAACAGGCTGGCGGTATGGGAATGAGGGGCCAGTGATGCTGCCTGAGAATGAGCTGAACCGTGTCTCTTCCCCTTCCAGGAGCTTCCTGTCGAATGAGAGAGAGAAACAGAAGCAGAGAAGCATGAAGCTGATCTTACAGAACGTCTATATATCACCCTCTTCCTCTGAAAGTCAATATGCATCTTGCAGAGCATCTTGCATCTTGCAATATGCATCAACATCATCTTGAAGTTACATTTGACCCGCAACACACATCAGAGGTGGAGTCTCTGAATCTCTTGGGCGTTGGAGTTACTGTTCTCTCCAGAGAGTTTTGGTTGCCTGAGAATGACATCCCAATCTGATACATTAAATCAAGTGGCTTTCAAAGCTTGTGGTTCGAGCAGAACTGTCTCTCAATTCTCCATGACTATATCTGTCTATATCTTTCCTTTCTGTGTCTATCGAAAGATAAAGAACATCACATGTAATCCTGAACCATAGTTTAGTTCGTAGGACAAGTGGTCAACTGGACTAAAAATCTTTGAAAGTCACCCTATTGGGTTCCATTAAGCCACAGACTTATCCAAGGCACAAAGTCATGTTATGTCCCTCTTCTCATGTTTGGTTGTTAATGTGTGCTGCTAAATGGTGACCAGTATACAGTGTTATGGCCCTGGGCCCACTCTCCCCCCTCTGAGCAGTTACAGCACATGCATGCCTCACTGCATGAGTCTGTGGAGCAGAGCACACCACATTCCAGTCCAAACTGTTTGATTAGCTTATATGGAATTCCGTTCAGCCACCCAGAACCTGCATTTACTGAACAGCCATAGTGAAGTGGATTGGAATGTCAAACACTTCACCACCCTTGGGTGAGCAGTAGAAAGGAACTCAGGGTTCCTGTCCACTCTTGTTGGTTCTAGGAGCAGTTATCTGTTTGTTGGTGCTTTAATTAAAAACTATCTCAGCTATGCCCATATACCATTAGTTTACTGCAATAATAAGCCCATTCACTAGATGCTCTTATCCACAGGCAAACAGAGGCAAGGGTGTGACCTATACCTCTACAATGACTGCAGCAATTGGAACAGTGCTTCCACCTGAAGGAGAGAGCCCAAGAACAGATGGGAGATTTGTTAATTCAGTGTCCTGCTCCAAAAAAAAAAAAACACATCAGCCAAAACCGACATTGACATGATGCAAAGTTTGCAACACTGAGGTCTCCCTGTTGCACTAAAAGAAATGGTGAACCCATTATGCAGCTGACACATTACAATATTGCTTATGAAATCAGCAGACATTAAGCAAGCCACTTGACCTAGCCTTTTTTGCCTTGCTTGTTGTCAACAATCTCTACAGGACCGACAGGCAGGAGTGTTTTTTTTAACTTTCTGCTATGCGGTATATTTACAAACCATGCCATAACTTATAAAAATGCAGTGGGCTTGTTTTTATTCCACTTTCCCTAAAACGTTTTAAATTCTGTTCAAATGGAAAGCTGTTGTTATGACGTAGCAGTAGCAGGGCTTGGTGCAGGAGGTGCCCCACCGTCACTGATGCCTCTGATGAAGCACTGTGCAGGGCAGCTGGCAGACAGAATAGCACTGCAGACGTGCAAATTCACCTCAGCTGAGAGAATTCGCACTGCAGTACTTTTCCACTTAGTTCAGCCTCAGCCTGCACACGCAGTACTGACAGACACTTAACACCTGCAGTTCTCGGACCTATATTTCTGTCAGACCTTGACTAATAATGAGCTAAGAGTGAGACAATGGCACTGAATGGTTTTGATAATCCATTCATAAAAATATCGCAATATGCTTTAATTTAATCCCTTCAATGCGTCATTCTCTGCTAGTGTCATTCCCAAACGGAACATCTTGCAATGTGAATCATTTTAGTTACTTCCACCCCCCCACCCCAACCCCTCAGAGACTTGATTCCGACAGATTTTTTTGAAATGGTATTATTATTCAAACTGACTCTCTATCCTCGTGGTCGCTAGTGGAGTTATTAAAAATCTTTCTTAAGAAGCGTCCCGTATAAATCTCCCAGTATTACCCAGGAGTCATGAAAGGAAGCATCCAGTTTTAAGAACAAGCCTTAAAAATATAATTCTGTTTTGTAGCTCTCTATATCCCCAAATCCCACTACACTGATATTTTACGTTGCTTACATGTTAATAGTTATATCCGGTACTGGCGATTTGTTTTAAAACTTTACCTTGATAAATCAATTTGTAACTGTTCGCCATAACGCTGTTCCTCATTAGATGCCGAATAAAAGTCTCAATCCGGACAAAAAAACGGCATCACCACTCGTTTCGATACTTTCTGGAAAACCTATGACGTTCCTCTCCTATCCAGTTTTTTTCCCCCAACGAAAACAGGAACAAAATAACAATTGGGACTGAGATTGCTACTACCGTAGTATACGACTTTACAGGATTTAAGTCTTATTTTGAAAACGTCCGCAGTAAGGGCATTACTGCAGAAGATCCCAAAGTCAGAACCCTACCTAACGTGGGGGAGCACTGCGCCTGCGCGCAGCGCGCTTTCAGTGGCGTTTTTGCTGCTGTCGCAGCTTGCTGAGGGCTTCGGGTTTACCTCTGCAGTGGTATTAATATTCAAGGCAGCAGTCGGCGCGTCACGGATACCTGTATGCTGCAATCTCGATGTCCAGGGCCATCTTGACGTTGAGGAGGTCTTGGTATTCCCTCAGGTGACGGGCCATCTCCCACTTCGTCCCCTTCAGCTCGTTATCCAGCTGATGGATTGTCTCCTAAAAACGGAAGAGAGGAGGAAGCGCTGAGAGATGGAGAATGTTTTCGGCTTCGCTGCTTCAGCTAGCGGGGCTCTTTGATCTTTTCTTTAAACCTTTAACATAATCGCTTGAAATAAACACTGTCACCAATACACAAAGTACTGCTTTTACACTTGAACGAAAGTCACACACCGACAGTGATGCGGAACTTTGCTTTCACTGTTACCCAGACAGGTTCCAGCGAGAAACGTCTGCGTTACAGACTTCTTCCTAGATTTAACAACGATCTCACAATTTAATGGTTAAGACAGCGGTTTACGATTTCTCCTGTACCTGTGCTTATTCTGCCCCGCTATGTTGGAAAAGCACATGTAAAAAGTAATCATGTCTACGGATTGAATATGGGGGAATTATTAGTGTAACAGAGAGAGAGCCGCCAACCGTAGTAACTGTTTCCTGTCTGGGCATACGCAAGAAGAAAGTTAATGTGCTATCGATCTGCGGTAACGGAGAGCTGACTCAGCAGAATGCAGCTTGATTCAGGTCCAGCAAAATATGCAAAGCAGCGCTTTTTCCGTCTTTCAAAGGTACAACTCTTGTTTTAAGAGGTTTGTCTTGAGAAAATAGTAACTAACGCAAGGTCATTTATTTCACAAGTGGGTATAATAATAATAATAATAATAAAGACACCAAAATGAAGACCTGAATCCTGTCCCATCCGATATAATCTAATGAAACCTCACCGAATCTCTCAGTTTACTTTCCTGTAAATTTAGTCACTCAATTACATTGCGAAGTTTCTCTGCTCTCTAGACTCGCGTCTCAGGCTTACATGTCAAAATACATATGACGTGCGTAAAATAAAAAGAAAGTTCTGGCGAGTTCAAAGGGACATGGCTAAATCAGAAAGCCCTTTTACTAAGAAATAAGCCGAGCGGGCGGTCGAGGTGGTCAGGGGGAGATTTAGCGTTTTGCTCGAGAGCAAAACGATGCTTCCAATCCATTTCTGCAGGTTTTTAGTTACTTGCAAGCGAGGTTACTATACTTGCAAGCGTTCTTACTATACTACAAAGTTTCGGAACCAAGTGGAGTTTGTTTTCGAGCTATAGACAGGGAGAGAATTTTTGCCCCAGAGCACAAAAAAGCATCGCATCGTAGTTCTACATCAGCCCCGAGCAGGAAGGGGTGCTGTCAGGGCTATGCGCCGCTCTGAACTGCGGGAGTACCGGGTTCACCCACCTGATAACTGGTCAGGTCGTTGTTGTGGCGCTCCTCGATGTCGTTGAGCTGCCTCTCCAGCGACTCCTTGGTGCCCCTCACCGACTCCAGCTCGATGCTCTTGGACTGCAGCTGGCGCCTGTACTCGGCGATTTCCTCCCGGGCTGACTTGATGGCATCTTTGTTCTGTTCCGCCGCCTCGGTGAGTTTCGCGTAGCGGCACTTGAACCAGTCCTCCGCCTGCTGCAGGTTCTTGGACGAGTGGCCCTCCAGCTGCTGGCGGATCTCCCGGAGCGCGGCCGTGATGTCGGTCTTCTGGTAGTCTTTCCTCTCCACCGTGACCTGCGACGCCTGCACCTGAGCGAGAAGGTCGCCCACCTCTTCCTCGTGGTTATTGCGCAAGAAAGCCACCTCGTCCTGCAGCGACTGGACCTTTTTGTCCAGCTCCACCTTGACCAGCGAAGAGTCCTCGATGTCCTTCTTCAACGCCCGGATAGCGCCTTCCGTCTCGTCCCGGATGCGGGCTTCCTCGTCGTACCTCTCCTTCATCCTCTGCAGGTCTTCCTCGATGTGGTCCGTGTCTAGCTGGATCTGCGCCTTCTCGTGGTTGATCTGCTCCAGCGTGGAGCGCAGCTCCCGCAGTTCCTGGTCGTAGGCATCGCCGAGCTGGGAGTGGGTCACCTGTTTCTGCCGCAGCGCCTGGATCTCGGCCTCAATCTCCTTGTTCTGCTGCTCCAAGAAGTGCACTTTGTCGATGTAGCCGGCGAAGCGGTCGTTGAGCCCCTGCAGCTGCTCCTTCTCGTTGGAGCGCTTGTAGTCCCCATTGAGCACGGAGGACTGGCTGAAGTCGAGGCTGTCGGAAGAGCTGAGGACCGTGGAGCTGTATGCCCTGGGAACGGCCAGGTTGGAGGTCCGCTTGTAGGAGGCGGTAAGCGAGGTGCCCGGGCTCGCCCTGGACCAGGACTGGGATCGGTAGCCGCTGGATGGGGAGGCGCTGGTGCGGCTGTAGGTAGTCCTGGTGTCCATAACCCTCCTATAAGAGGGGCTCCCTATCGTTTCCAGCGTATAACTCATCCTGGAAGACCGGGAAGAGGTGTGTGGGATGAAGGGTAGTGTGTGTGATTGTGAATGTGTGCGGCTGCCACAGCACCGTCTGCTCTGCCGCCGTGCCCTTTTATATCCCAGGCATATTCGCTAACAGGGCAAGAATGGGCTCTTCGCTGGCTAATTGATTTTTTTTTTCGCTGCGTACTGATGAAAAGCCCACGTGGTGAGGGCGTGAGCCAGGAAGAAGGCAGAGATGCGGTACAGGAGCAAGTGAGAGAGAAAGAGAGAGAAAGAGCCGGTAAGACTTCCAGCAATGTCGTCAAGTATCCCCGCAGACCAAACACATCCCCTCCAATATAACGTACACTTAACGTCGCTCTTCCACCCCTGTACAGCTGCGTATTTCTGCGTTTTCAGAAACCTGACTATTTCTAAAATCTTACCATAACGGAGACTTGCAAAGAAAGAAAAAAAAACAGTTGTGTGAATAAAACAGAGATAACTTTCTTGTACGAGGGAGGTGTCGAACACTGTTGAACAATAGGGAACGAGGAGTAAGGTGTTTATAAACACACACTTTCGTTAAATATTCTGAGGGACAAATCTGGAGATAATATTATGCCTTAAGGGGGAGAAAGTATCTCACTTGTTGTTTAGCATAATTTACAGCGGAGAGATGTGTGCTGCAACTGAACAAGGAGAGGTTAATTCCTTTCTAAAGACTGGGAAGAGTAAAACACTTCGGCCCGGCCTTGCAGTTTACCGTGTTTTCCTTTTCCCCGAACTCTTCCTGTTCCTCGGCCCTGTCGAAGAAGGCTCCACAGCCTGCTCTGCTGTCGCTTCCGAGCGTGGAATTAACCCCTGCTTGTACGAATGAAACAGACGTACAGTGTCAGGGGATGGGCAGTTGTAACGCTCTGAGTGTCACTGCCCGCAGGCTTAAAAAAATCACTAAAACCGCAGCTTTCGAGTCCCGAAAGTGATCTCCGATCTTTTTGCTAGAGAATAACGCTGGAGCGAGCAAAAAACCGAGTCTCTAAAACATATACTTTATATTTTTCTATGTATCAAAGTTTTTTTTAAGCTAATATATTTATATCTGTGTTTGACGGCATATAGCCTACCGTTTATTAATATAACCACAAAGACGTTCAGAAGAACACTCTCCTGGGCACGTTGCTATGAGCAAAGAGACGTGTGTGCATGACAGAACAGAGCGTGTTCCTCAGTTTGCCTACATACAGTATGTGTAGCTACGTGGGATAACACTACTGTGTATGTGGCAAACCTGGACTGAAAAAGAGACATCCCCGAAACTGAAATGCACCTGCCTGTGCACTAGAGTGTGACACAGTGTGACAATTGTAGCTGCACATCTAGAAAACGATGCATGTTTTTTTAAGAATCTGCAAATACCACAGAGACCTGCAAAACACATTAACATCTACTATTTAAGATAACAATTTGTCCACTTAAATCATGCAGGGCTCCTTATTAATTTAAAAACGTACAATACCGTGGTTCTCTTGGATCAGTATTGCAGAACTGCAGATGCCCAAATGGAATTTGCTCTTTAACAGTGAGAATTTCTTCTTACCAAGCATACTTCTGGTCACCTGGTTTTATTGTTACTCTAATAACAGTTGGAATATAGTATACCCTAGTTGAATAAGTTATGAATTTGTAACATAGGACATAACCCACAGCCCTAGATTTTTGGTTGAGAAAGCTGATGATTGAACGCTATTGAGTAATAATTCACAGAGGGTGTACAGTAAAGAAAGCCCCACTATTGTCTGGAGAAAAAGAGAGGTAGGTAGTTGAGTGATATGGGGATTACCTGCAATTTTGCTGAAAAAACGCAGGTAGAAAGAAATAAGGAGACTTGCGGCAACATTTTAAAACGCTCCCACTGACAAGCAAATATAGCTCCCACACTAGTCACGTAAACGACAAAAATGTGAATCCAGAACTGAAATGGGGCGCCAGACCCTAAGGTGTCAGAGTTGAAAGAATAGCACTCTGTGTACGGTAAGTGCTTGTTGGAAGGCGACCACAGGGACAGTGATAATCACCCCTAAAAGATGAACTGATGGATAATACTGGGAAATAAATGATTGATAATGAATTACACCCTTCCCTCGGCCTCCATCTCATCCCACAGGCTGTAGAAGAAAATTACTTTTGATCAGCTCATGGTAGTGTATGGAGAGTGTAACTAATCTGAGTTTGGGATCGATACTATAGTATTACATGGTGTTAAAGGCATAATCCAGTTGTAGGTCCTCCTTAAAATACATACAAACAAATGAACTAATGAAACAATAGAGAAACAATAGAGCTGGTTGCTAATTTCAGCTGCTGTCTGCTCTGTTTAAGCAGGTAACAGTTTAAAGATGCTGAAAACCCTGATGGAATATGGCTCTTCAGGTCCTGTATGGGAATATAAAAGTCCAGATATACCAGCATTTGTGACACCTTGTGCTGGGTGCATGAATCCAGGACCTCGGACGACTTGAGGCCAAACATGATGGGGGTGTTGTAACAGGCTCAGTGGTCTCCCTACGTTAATGATGCACATTTCTGCAAGGTCACAGGGTTTTGCTCCATCTCCCTTCATAATAACACAGTTGAATTAATTGATAGCTTCAGGGACCAATTAAGCATTTTTTAAACGTCTTCAGCCTTTGACGATTTCCAGAGACCTAGGCCAGAATTAAACCCAGGAGTCAAGTCCTATGAAGCAGCAGTGTGACCCCCTCCGCTGCTGCGCTGCCCCCTGCTGGAAAGATGATGTATTCCAATGAAGTTTTTTTTAGAACAGTGACCTTTGCTATTATAAAGATTGATGATTTGACGGCTAATTTTATTTTCCTTTTGTTAAGACAGGCTCCTTTTTTATCTTGCTTCAAAGCAAATGGATATAGATTAGAACTTTAACACTTGACAAACTGCCCAAGAACTGTTTTTTCCAGTTTCAACTGTACTACAGACACCAATTACATTGCAACGTATTGTTTTTTTGCAAACGTTTCTCACACACTGGCTCAACTTTAATCAAACCCCTAACCTCCTTGCAGGACTCCTAACACAAAAACAGATAATGTTTTCTTGTTTTTTCACACACCTTTTCTAAAGCAATTCAGTCAGGATTCAGAATCCACAGTTCATAAAACTAACTACAGAATGTGATTCGGTCCAGTTTATCATTTAATTGCTTTTTTACAATAAAAAAAATCACTTACTAACAGAATTTTGTTTTTACAAAAACTTGAAAGACTGTTTTAGACTAGCCCCCCAAAAATAAATGTTTCAACCAAACTTCCATAGTCTCTGTGTGTTCTCGCAAGGGAACAAAGAATGCTTTTTCAAGCAATTAAATTATAGTTCATTTCTCTCTGTACTTTGATGGCTATGAACACGGAGGCAGGTGCCACACTACAGCACACAGTGCTTGCTGTCAAATAGCTATAAACACACTTCTAAGTAACCTCTGTTCCAGAAATATTACTAGTTTTCTTTTTATTAACCATTTAAAGTGTCCTCTTAACGTTACCAATAGCTACTGCTACCAGTGTTGTTCCTTAGTGCGAGGCAGACAAACCATTTTTTACCTGATTTCCATTCTAATGATGAGAAAAGAACTGTTAAGATGTTATAAATATAATTAATCTATATTATATATAATGTAAATATCTTTGCCATGAGCAATTCCATTAGGTTTTTGAAACACAGAGAAAGCGTTGTTAGAATTACTTAGTATGAAAGGTTCCCTATGTCACTTTCACTTTTGTCTTTTTCTCTTTCTCTCACTGCGAAAGAAACTAGGGATATCTCTCTGATGCCTTTGTGATATTACTGCAGGGCTATTATCTTTCACCAGGAATAGCAGTGTCCAAGAAGCCAGGGCTTTGTGAATGTTTATGGAGTATTTTAAGTGGAATACATTTTGGCTTGACCCTCTTAGCCGAGGGCCAGCATCCAGGACATAGGATGGGAAGTGAGAAGTGACCAAAGAGCAGGTGGAGATCGGGTGGAGCAGAGATGTGTGAGTCAAAATGCAAAAAGGAGGTGTTTGTGTGCACTATGTACAGTATATATAGTCAACATTGGTAAATGATTATGATTCTGAACAGCTGGGTGTGATTGACTTGTACATCATTATTGTAACGAACAGTTCTTTCCGGGCCCTATGCAGACGACACGATCCAGTTGGTGTGGAAACAGTAGGGAGAAAACCATGCAGGAGAAGGGTATGGAGACAGGGAGGCGTGTCCAAGGTGAGCAGGTGTCCAGGGGAAGTGAGTCTGGGGCGAACAATCAAAGACGAAATCCAATATGGGGAATCCAAAACAGAAGGTAGAGTCCAAGGCCAGGGGATCCATCCAGAGAATAAAACCATGAACCGGGTCGGGACCGGTGGGGCGGGGAATCAGGAACAGAAGGTTAAAACCATAACAGAGCAAGACGCAGCAGGACCCCGGTTCTCACGATACGGGATTCAATGAGGAACCAGGAGTGATGTCTGCGTCTGGCTTTTAAGGTGGAACGAAAATCAGAAACAGTTGCAGGTAATGGGGCAGAACAAGGAAGGACTGGAGCGCCCTTAAGAGGAGGAGTAGCGATCGTGACAATTATCTTGAGCTTCAGTTAAGAACGTCCATTAAGTCAGGGGTTACCTGCTGATAGTTTCATTGCAAAAGATCTTTAAATAGATGGACTGAACTAAACTGAATCATCTGCTTACACTGTCAAAACAAGATTGTTCCAAGTGAAGCAAGATTTGAAGATGACCCATTAAACCTACTAGGTTGTAGCTCTCTAGGAGCAGTGTTGGCTACCCCTGGCCTACAGTGTGGTCTGTTGTTAGCTGTTGGAGCAACTTTAGGCCACCCTTGTCCTCAGTGTTTCCTACAGGCTGTAGCTGACAGCAGCACAGCAATTAGTTGTGAAATACTCACCTTTTCCCCTACAGTTTTTTTCAATACTTCATTCATGTTCTGGTTATTTCCGTCATATTAGGGATATACAGTAGGTCCATTAAAAGGAAAGTATGTTTACACATGAGAGCAGGTCCCTTAGCCCTTATAGCTCATATGGTTTTCAATAGCCAGTTAACCTGGAGAGCTCATTACTTTCTGTCTTGAGAAAAACCTGTTCCATACCCCCACAACCCTTTGCGTTAAGACCTGTTCTCAATTTTAAAGCTATTCTGAGTACTTTCCACTTGTGTCATCTTATTTATGAATCACTGTTGACACCGAGGATGTCCTCTGGGTTGACTTTGCAGGTTTCGAT